AGTATTGCCGTCGTTGGACGTTCCAGATCCTCCAGGCTTAGGCTTGTCAACAATCAGGCCAGTTTCCACTTTGAACCGTTTTTTAATTTGATTCTTTCTAATCTTCATGGCTTGAACATTCTGTCCTCTTACCTGCCATTTTTTAATTTCAAGTCGGTAAGACAAGTGAAGAAAGTATTCCATAAAGCTATAAAATATTGATATTGTATCAAACCATAATACTTAACACTTAATTTTAATAAATCTCACCGGATCCAGGCATGCAAAGTTGAAAGCCCAAACTGGAAAGCATCGCTGTTCTCCACGCGTTCAGTTACTGAATCAAGATTGTTCATCAATTTCGGGGTTGCATTACAAATATAGCAAGTTTGTGACGATTTGTTGCCCGTAACAGCATTGCAGACCTTTCCGTCTACCATTGTCAAAACCATCTCATAGCGCACAATAATGGTACGGCCTTCTACCGTAATTACTGTTGGAACAAGCTGGTCAATCTGATTCTCTATATGTTTCTTCTCGTTGATTGATACTTCCGTAGTTTCACTCACGAGCTGAATCCTCACAGGTCTACAGAATCGGGTTGATGGTCGGGGATTTTGGAACAAAACTATTCCGTTTACATCTGCCTTAATAGGAACTAAGGAAGTAATAAACATATTTGAATCACTAGATTCTCCGTCGTCATTCTCAAATTTTTGTTTGTATTCCGCATGTCCGCTGCTGCCATCGAATCCCCATTTTACCAAAAGTACAACCTGAGGAAAATAAATTATTGGTTCAAAGTCTCTATAATGAAAATAAAAAAGGTACAACCTGCTTGAGCTCGTCATCTGAAAAATCTTCAAGATGCTTCTTGTTTGCAAAAAACAATCCTACTTGAGGTATGGTCCAAAAGCTTTTGAAGATTTACTTCGGCATTTTTTTCATCAACCATAATAAATTGATCTTCCGCATAGCACTGTTTCTTGGCATTGACAATTTTGTTGTACGACGGGTAAATATTCACGTTTCTCAGTTTTGCTTCTCCTTGGATTTTGAGGTATTGTGACTTGGTCAAGTTGGCATCTATGATCATTGCTAGTGCTTCCAGGTCAGAATACTGTAAGGGCTGCTTCTCCTGAGAATTTCTCCACGAAACAAGTATCTTTGATGCTCGGGTAGGGGTTGTCATTGTTGCTTCCTTCACTACTTTTGCCGCATCTACGGATCCACCTTCACGCAACTTCATTTGAGTAGCGTAAGTCAAGTTGCTAACGGAATGACCCCGTTATAGATACGCAGTCTTTCGGCGTTTTACAGCATCAGAACTATCTCGGAAAGGTGTCGTTGTTCTACCTCGGCTTGTTGAAGGAAGTTCAGAGAGCAAGAGAGTGGGAAGATTGAAGGGTTTTTCGAAGTAGCGGATATTGCATTTGACCATTTTTGTCTCGGATCGGTGGAACTTGCGATAAAGCTTTTTAAAATATTTGCCAATCGGTAACAGAGCCTTCTCCACATCATCTCTATTTAAATCGGACTCGTCAATGTTGTACGTTTTATACACTTCTTGACTCATTTTTCGAACTTTTTCAATTTCACTTCCTTGGGTTTCCTTCCAGAGTTGCAGCAACTTACGCTTATCAATTTTAACTGAACAAAAAAGTTAGCATGTTCCTTCAATGTTTCACAATTTTCAATAAGTTTTGGTACTTGAAATGCAGTAACAGGTCTTACGACAGTAGCCGACAAACTATATTTTTTTTTCAAATAAAATATATAGTTTGCTTTGATCATTTTTCCTCCTTAAAAACAAATTACAGTCGAATCTCCCTAGCTCGATATCAAAGGGTCCATTGTGTAAGAGAGGATGTCAAAATCTTTTTGTATTAAAAACATCACTTTTAAATTCGGTGTTATGTTTTGATTAATCTTACATGTTATTTTACTTTTAAGTTACTTTAGAATAATAAAAAAACAAACTAGAAATTAAACAAAAAAAAATCGAGACCATTGTTAGATAGCAAAATATCGTTTTTACTTGAATAGCCCCCTACAAAAATCTTAAATCTTTGTTTACTAAAATCCACCACAGTTTCCAGGATACTAACGGATACTAATGATCTCCACAACATTTAAAGTACAAATTCTGAGCTTTCAAATGAAACTTGTTGCAAGTGCGGCAATTTGCGGCCAGCTTAGTTATAGCTTTTTGAAAAAGGGTGATTTTTTGCTTAAAAATCACTGTATCTCTCGCCAATCAAATCATAGCACTTTGGTGTCTTCAGAAAAGTTGTGTGTTTAGATATTATCTAAAACTTTGCAGAATAGATACCAAAGAGATACAACGTGAATATGACATAGAAAAACTCAAACAACTGATTTTAAGGTGCAACTGGCAAATAATCTCTTATATCTTCATACAATGAAGTCATGGCAACTTGATGTCTTCAGCAAAGTTTCTTGAAGCCCTACAACTTTGTAGAAGACATCATCTCGATATCTGTTAATATAAAAAAGTTAGTTTTTTGAAGTGCAGTTGCACCTTAAGAAAAATTAAGGTGAACATTCCAAAAGGTGCGGAATCCAGAACTATGAAAATCTTCTGAAGACACCTTAATGCTAAAACGTACGTACATCTCAGAAAACAATTAAGTTCACGAATTTGCACTTTTAAACCACTGTGCGTTTGTGAGATCCAGCGGTGTGAATGTTGATTTTTTTTTAATTTTGGTAATGTTTGACCGTTTTAGAATGTATTTCGTGGCTCTCTAGCTCCGACATAAAAAAATACGCAAGAGCAGAAAATTCTCAAAATATAAAAAAAAAACAAACAATACGACCTCTCACTGGAAAATGCAACATTCGAAAACAGCCAAGAATTATCAACCTTCCAACCTTCCTTTAAAAAAATGATCAATCAAACCGCTACATCTCGAAAACGGTGTGACTCAGCGACATTTTATGTAAGTGCTTTTTTTATTGTAAATTTGGTGTACTCTTTTTACATCAAATCGAAGACAAAATTTTACCAAGTTGTGAATATTTTCCAAAAAATTAGGCGTTTATAAAAATCATAACTTTGTTTCCATTCTCCATCTTGACCTATATAGTACAATAGATGGCATTGGATGTCCCCTAAAACGTATAAAAAATCCTCTTTTGAGAATGTACATCGACATGTTTCGTCTGGAAACGATTCTCTGCTGACTGTGTTGGGGAAGCAGGATATACATGTACGTGATTGGTGGATTTGTTAGTTATTTCGATGCTTTTGGACAATGCTTGACATTTACCACTTTTTCAATATTTGGTTGTTGGAAAACAACAGTCGAAATCATTGCTATCGATGCGTAGAAATATTTCTGATTGTTTGGTGATAAAATTATTGAAATTGGACCAGGGGCAGCTGAGTTATAAACGTTCAAAATCTTTCATAATTTCGTTACATGTTCAATTTTCGGTTTTTGCAAATTCTTACAAATTGATTTGTACCGATTTAAAGCTTTATTAGCGAGATTTTTGGCGCTTTAAAAGTATTCTTTTGAACGAATATTCAAATTATAATACAGGTATTTATACCTCGATATAACGTAACTGTCACTTCCGCCACCGTCATCGTCGATATCTCTCAAGTAACAATTCAATCATATAAATAAACATTATCATTAGATGGAGGTTTGTCTCGGCTTTTCGATGGAATCATTACTTTGCTCGATTGAATGATCGTTTTCGAGGAATCGGTGATATCAGTCAAAAGTGACAGTTACTTTATATCGAGAAATACGTGAATTTCAGCAAATTTTATAAAATTTCATATACCTCAGTTGTATGAAGATGTACAGCATTTATGTCTTGGGCAACATTTTATTAAATTTTACATTCTACAACTTTGCCAAAGACAGTAAACCTTTATCTTGCGAAATAAAAAAGTTTGTATCGCTGCGCCATCTTTGCGGCCAAAACTTGTACTATTTTTATGCATCAAATTTTAGTCCTTATTAATCAAAGAAACTTAATTCAAGATGTCAACTAAATTAGATGCAATCCAAGAGCGTTATCATTTTTTCCTGCTAAATTTAATTCCTGGCCCACTGTGCACAAGTGTTAGCGGAGCAAACGTTGCGTCTGTTTTCAGTAGCATAAATAGCATATTTTTTTACGTTCAAAACATTGTTTCTTTAAAAATCTGTTAATTTTTCTGTTGAAGTCCTGGTATTTTTAGAGTAATCTAGGGTTCACTGTGAAGAACCTTTCGATGAATTTCGGATATCCTCTAAGGTTTGAGACAACATCGATCTTCTCGGGGAACTTCCTTTACACCTGTTGATGGTCATTTAGAGGCCGAAAATTGCTTAACTATTAACGGTATTCAACTTACTACGATCTTGAGTCATGATATCGAATAGAAATCCCCGATTACTTTTTCGAAGGGACGTATAAGATTTTGTAAACAATGCATTTGATCGTAGATTTTGGCGTACCTGGTAGCTCGCCCACGCATGCTAACACTACCATCAGATAGGGGAAATTTCCCCCTGCCTGATAGTGGTGTTAGTATGCGTAAGCGAGCTACCAGTTACGCCAAACCGACGATCAAATGCATTGTTTACAAAAGCTGATACGTCCCTTCGGAAAAGTAATCGAAAATTGTAGTCAATACTGATCATAGCTAAAATAGTGGTGCTTTTTATCTCTCGTAAATCCTCATCCTCGCTACGCCACCGAAAATTCCCTGTCCACATCAACTCGGTAAGTCAAAAGGAGCTAATGTTTACACCCCGATCCGGACAACATTCGCGCAGCCGTAATTCAATCCACGCTCAAAACCAACGATATATGAACGATCTATGCGGCGGACGCATGTCTACAAATATGTGAAACGATCGCTTTTCCTCAAGATCTCCCAGAGACACTCCGCCCCAACCAACGCCACCATTATAGGTAGTTGGGGAGGAATGTCGGCAAAATAGTTCGTGAAATTTGAAAGGTTCATGTTCCCGTTGTTATTGTTGTTACCATAGGTTTCGCTGACGGTTGCTAGTTAGCAGCATTCGGTCGCAGTGCACGGTGAAAGAGAATGTCCAGTTGGTAGTAGCGTGTGTGTGGGGGGGGGCGTGAGTCACTACATCGGTAATGAACGGAAAAATCAGCTGGTCGTTCAGCAAGCACTAACCAAAACAAAAAAAAAACTACCACTCAAAAACCGGTCCAACCACGATGCTGAGGCTGCTGCTGCAAATGCGCAACACATAATGAGCGCCGCGGTTCACGGTGTTGTGTGTGATTTGAGGAAGTTGTTGAAAAACCGGGCCTCCTCTCGTCTAATGGTGGTGCTGCTGCTGCGCGGAAATAACCGCATCGAACCCCAGAAGAGCTCGATCCCAGTTGCCGAAGGAGGGAAAAAGTGCTGAAAAAAGTGTAAATTAATTCGATCCACGATACGCCGTCATCAACATACATATCCGATACCCCGTAACAACATATCTCCAGAGAGTGAGTGAGCGTAGTGTGTATAACTAGACAAACAGATCGTTGTTGTTTGTAAAGAAAGAAAGAAGCGAACGGACGATCGAACGGGCGAATAATAAAAAAAAAGCATGCGCGTGACTTCCTCGATCGCGTGAGAGAGATCTCCTCTACGTTGTGTTTTGTTTTGTGTTGTGAAACTTCCGGAAGTGGCCTGTGAACAAATCGTGTGATGAAAAAGAAAACCAGCGTGTTCGAGCTGCCGCCCAAATGTCCGGCCCTGGCGGATAAAATTACCGGTATCTTCGGCTGGCGGCACACCTACCGGGTTTCGCAGAAGCAGAAGGGCATTCCCCACTGCCACCAGTATCTGCACAAGACCTACTCGCTCAACCTGCCGAGGAAGACGGTAAGATGGGGTTTTGGTGGGGTTAAGTGTGTTTTATTTTTATAATCCAGAACTAAGTTGATAAGACCTTTGTCCTTGGGTGGATGCTAAACGTTTGAGTCGAATGATTGGGTTCTATTTTTTTACGTTTGCATACACTATTTGAAGAATCACAGACAGCTCCTATTGATAAGAGATCTTCTCAGGACAGTCCCATTATATTCACACAAAAATGTAGGAACTTTAAAAACGTTCTGAGGAATGAACAAAAATGCCGAGAATTTCACAGAAGTTTCATAAACAAACTACGGGAAGATAAGGGAAGTTCCGAAAACTTTTTGAAAATTTTGGCATCAAGAATTTTAAAGTGGTTAGCTTCAGGGAAACTGCAGGATCTTTTAAGAAGTTCTGCAGGGAAATCAAGAGAACTTCAGAGGAGCATTTTTGAAACTTTAAAAATGTTCCAAGCATCTTAGAGAAGTTAGGTCTTGAGATCTTTAGGGATTTCCAGAGATTCTTGATGTTCCAAAAATATCAGAAAACTGCAGAGATCTGTAAGGGTATGTACCGATAAATTCAAGACAGTTCCATTTACTTCTGTAAAATTTCGAAAGAACTTCCGGGAATTTCAGGAAAATTCAGAGAACTCCAGAGAACTTAAGAAAATATCAGAAATATTACGAAATCTTCACAGTAGTCCAGAGAACTTCAGGGGTGTTTAAAGGTTTTCAAAACAGTACCAAGAGCTTCAGCGGCCTCTGATAGTCTAGTCAGTTAAGGCAAATTCCCGGTCTGGTAAAAAAGCCAAAAAGCTCTCATTTAATAGCTGTGGAAGTGCATCTTGAACACTAAGTTAAGAGTCAGCAAAACGCTTGCTACAGAAATGTTTGAGGATGTTTGAGAGAATTTCAAATCAGGACAGAGCGGAGAACCTTAGGACAGTTCATTTAATTTAACGAACATTGTTGGATTAAAGGAAAACTTCGGCAATGTTCCGAGAGGTTCATGAAAATTTGGAATGTTACATGAACATAAGCAAACAACATTTTAGGGGAGGTTCCGTGTTTTTAACCTTTGCGTGCCTAACGTCTAAATTTTCAAAGATTTAAAATTTTTATTACACACTTCGAAAAATTGATGTAAATTTAGGTGCCCTGAGACTGACATATACGAGCGTCAATTTTGACATAAAATTGAGTGATAACAGACGCGAAATTAGCGAGTAATCGGTTCAATTCCTTTAACTCTAGCTTTAAGACATCTATTATGTATAACGCAAATGATAACTTGGCTCTGTAAAGTTTATTCAATTGAGCCTGTACAAATAAATTAATACAAAAAAAGACTTTTTAGTCTCTGAGCACTTAATTATACATGACATGTTTGTTTACGTCTCATCCTTTATGCGAAGACAACATATCAAGAAGACTGGCAACTCTTCAATTCTCTCATACGAACACTATGCGACAGGTACAATCGCGTAATCTGCCGTTCAAAGGTAAATGCTTCGAACGAATTTGATAGCAAAGATTACATCCTCAGAAGAAAGGTTTGTGTATTTGCTCATTTTTCTATGCGTTGCTTCCACCTTCCCTCAATCGCAGCGCTACTGTATCTATCGCTTAGATTCTGGCAAAGTTGCCAGTCTTCTTGAATTGAAGTCTTCGCTTTATTGGATTCCGTCACGTGTGAGATTAGGTATTTCTTAGTTTGTAGCTCTGAAAACACAATTTCTCAATCTTTTTCTTCACCACAAGTTGCATTTTGTCTGGAATCTATTGAAGTTTATGAATCCATCTGAAAACATTTGGATCAATACATGATTCCGGAGTTATTCCGGTTCCCTTTGGGGTCACTTTTGGTCGGCATTCGGCTTTACTACTCTGTGATGAAAATCATGTTTTTTTTCTCTCAAATGATGTAATTGGACCAATGGCAGCTATACCGACGGTCCACGATCACATTGGGCATCCCGGATATGTTCCGGTGCCCCCGGGCAAGTGGCCAATTCTCGACAAGAACCAAAGCCCATCGTGTGACATATCAAAATTCATGATTCTACAAATTTTGGCCGGTAATGGTCTTATCAAGAGTCTACAGTCACCCTAGCCCTTCCGAGCATGTTCCGGTGACCCCGGGGAACTGGCCAATTCTCGACAAGAGTCAAAGCCCATCGTGCGACATATCAAAATTCTTGACGCTACAAATTTTGGCCGGTAATGGTCTTATTGAGAGTCGACGGTCACACTAGTCCTCCCAGGCATGTTCCGCTGCCCCCGGGGAACTGGCCAATTCTCGACATGATCCAAAACCCATCGTGCGAAGTATCAAACTTCATTATTTTACAAATCTTGGTCGGTAATGGACTTATTGAGAATCGACGGTCACATTAGCCTTCCCGGGCATGTTCCGGTGCATCCGGGGAACTGGCCGATTCTCGACAAGATCCAAAACCCATCGTGTGACGTATCAAACTTTATGATTTTACAAAACATGGCTGGTAATGGCCTTATTGAGAGTCCACGGTCACACTAGACCTCCCGGGCATGTTTCGGTGCCCCTGGGCAAGTGGCCAGTTCTCGACAAGAACCAAAGCCCATCGTGCGACATATCAAAATTCATGATGCTACAAATTTTGGCCGGTAATGGCCTTATTGAGAGCCGATGGTCACACTAGCTCTCCCGGGAATGTTCTGGTGCCCCGGGCAAGAGGCCAATTCTCAACTAGAACCAAAACCCATCATGCGACATATCAAACTTCATGATTTGACATATTTTGGCCGGTAATGGTCTTATTGAGAGTCCACGGTCACACTAGCACTCCCAGGCATGTTCAAGTGGCCAATTCTCAACAAGAACCAAAACTCATCGTGCGACGTATCAAACTTCATGATTTTACAAATCTTGTCTTATTGAGAGTCCACGGGGGCATGTTCCACTGCCCTCAGAAATGTTACGGTTCGCTCAAAAAGTGGCCAATTCTCGACAAGAACCAAAACACGTCGTACGACAACTCAAAGTTCATGGTTTTCATAACTTGGCGAGAGGGCATGTTCACATTGGCCACCCCCGGTACCCTCGGAGAAGTGGTCAATTTTCAACAAGAATTAAAACTAGTCGTGCGACATATAATAGTTCATCATTAAAAAAAAAAAAAACTCGGATGGTAACGGTCTTATTGACAGTCAACGGTCACACTAGCTCCTTCGAGCATGTTCCGGTACTCCGGAGAAGTAGCCAATTTTCGACAAGCACCAAAACAAGGACCAAAACCCGTCGTGCGATATATCAAGCGTCATCGCTTTTCAAAACTCGGCCGGTAATGACCTTATTGAAATCCCACAGTCATATTAACCTTCCCGGATACGCTCCGGTGTCCTCGGGGAAGTGGCCAAGAATCAAAACCCGTTGTGCGACATATCAAACTTCATGATTTTGCCGAACTCGGTCAGTTTTGACCTTATTTAGAGTCCTCAGATCCCCATAACTACTGAACCTAATTTTAATTGATGCTAGTTGGGTCAGACCTTGAGTAATTGACATCACATTCTTGCAACATGAAACCCGGGGACACCGGAACATGCGCGGGAGGGTCAATGGGATCGTGGGCTCGCAAAAAAAAAAACATTACTGGCCGAGTTCAGCAAAATCATAAAGTTTGATGTGATGTGTCGCATGACGTGTTTTGGTTATTGTGGAAAATTGTCCACTTCATCGGGGTACCGGAATATGCGCGAGAGCCCCAATGTGATCGTGGACTCTCAATAAAGCCAAAACTGACAGAGCTACGTTAAATCTTGATGTTTTATGTATGGCATGTTTTGGTTCAGGTCGAGATTTAGTTATTTCCTTGGGCACTGGTACATTTCCGGGGCACTGGGACGTTCCTGGGATGGCGAATATGACCGTGAACTCTCAATTAGGCCATTACTGGCCGAGTTCTGAAAAAACCATGAAGTTTGATATGTCGCACGACGGGTTTTGGTTCTTGTCGAAAATTGGCTACTTCTTCGGGGCACGGGAACATGGCCGAGGGAGCCTAGTGTAACCGTTGACTGTCAATAAGGTCATTACCATCCGAGTTTTTTTTTTTTTTAATGATGAACTGTGCTGTGTCGCACGACCAGTTTTAATTCTTGTTGAAAACTGACCACTTCCCCGAGGGTACCGGGGGTGGCCAATGTGAACATGCCATCTCAATAAATCCATTACCCGCCAAGTTATGGAAACCATGAACTTTGATTTGTCGTACGACGTGTTTTGGTTCTTGTCGAGACTTGGCCACTTTTTGAGAGAACCGTAACATTTCTGAGGGAACATGCCCCTGAGCGCTTGTATGTCCGTGGACTCTCAATATGACCATTACCGGCCAAGATTTGTAAAATAACGAAGTTTGATATGTCGCACGATGGGTTTTGGTTCTTGTTGAGAACTGACCAGTTCCCCGGCGGCACCGGAACATACCTGGGAGGGCAAGTGTGATCGTGGACTCTCAATAAGGCCATTACCGAGAAAAAATTGTCAAATCATGAACTTTGATATGTCGCACGATGGGTTTTGGTTCTTGTTGAGAATTGGCCACTTCCCCGGGGGCACCGGAACATGCCCGAGGGGGCTAATGTGATCGTGGACCATCGGTATAGCTGCCTTTGGTCCAATTACATCATTTGAGAGAAAAAAAAAAACATGATTTTCATCGTGTGTATACTTATTACAGAATAGTAAAGCCGAATGCCGACCAAAAGTGAATAACTCCGGAACCATGTATTGATCCAAATGTGTTCGGATGGATTCATAAACTTAAATAGATTCCAGACAAAATGCAACTTGTGGTGAAGAAAAAGGTTGAGAAATTATGTTTTTAGAGTTAATTGAATTTTGAAATTTATGCAAATTTTGACGTTAGGCACGCAAAGTTTAGGCACGCAGATTCGTGAATTTAAAAAAAAATGCGTGGACATCAGTGAAGATCAAAAAACATCAAAACAGTTAGACTAATTAAAAAAAAAAAAAATCCGAGA